TGTGAGCCCCAAGATGATGGCTCAGGATCAGTGCAGGTTCTGTGTGGGGTCTGCCACCAGACTGCCTCGCAGAGGTAGGGAGTTCTTAAGACCAGGCCGAGCAAGATGGCTAGCGTCATCTATCAGCTCATGGGAATGCCAGGCCAGCAGTGGGACGTGAGATGAAAGGACCAGAAAACAGAACTGAAGCCAGACAGGCTGCAGCCAGTGGAAGGAGCTGGGTGGTCTGTAGCCTGGAAGAGGAACAGGGGTGTGCACTCAGGAATTCAAGAGCCCTGAGAGATGGGCAAGGGTAAAGGCAAGTGAGCATGTTCATTCATTTATCCAACATGTATTCATCAAGCTGCAGTCATGTGCTAAGCGCTGTTCTAGGCTTGGAGGCCTCTGTGGTGCACAAGGTATAGCCTCTGCTCTTCTGGAGTACATGCTGTAGTGGGGAGTAAAGACGTAAAAAGATACTGTATGATAGTGATAAATACCATGACGGAAATAAACAGATTGCTGGGGTAGAGAGTGCCTAGTAAATGGGGGACACTTTTAAAACATGGGAAGGAAAAGCCACTTTGAGAATATGCCACTTGAACTGAGGCCTGAATGATGAGGAGGAGCCAGCCAAGGGACAATGTGGGGGCAAAGCATTCCACAGGAAAGCAAAGGCCCCGGGGGTGGAATGAACTTGGCATTTCGAGGAATAGATGAAAGACAAGTGTGGCTGGAAGAAGAGGTAGATGGGTCCAATTCGTGGAGTACTCTGGGGATCATAAAGGAGTTTGGATTTTATCCTGTGTGTAATGAGAATCCACATGAAGGCTTTAAGCAGGAGAATGGTGTGATCTGAATTCTGAGAAATGTCCTAGCTCTGTGGGCACTCAGTTTTCTAGAACAAATAAGAATAAGCAAATCTTGTTTTCTTGGGGGTAGAGGAGGTGAGGGTGGGAAGACCCTGGATCAGGCAGGAACTTCTAACTACATGGCAAATCTCGATTGCAGCGAGGTGTTTGATAAAGGCTCTCATGGATGAATAGAGATGGCACGATAGTGACTGGATTGATTTATTCCCCCGAAGTGTTGATTCGGGATTACTGTCAGGTTGGGAGGGGCGTCCCTAGCATTGTCCCCAAGGCTCTGCCCTGGACTCTCTCCTGTTCGACATTTCTATCCATAAATTGGTGGAAGACTCAGAAGATGTGCTCATCAGACATGCAGCTGACATGGAGCTGTCAGGGACAGTTAATGCCACGGATGACAGGCTCAAGATTCACTGTGATGATCTTCGGCAGGCTGGTGCAATGGGACGAGACCAGCGATAGCCCTGATTGCACTCAGATTGGTCCAGGCACCAGGGAGACTCCACTGGAGAACTATGTCCTGAAAGGAAGTCTGAGCTGGGGATGGGGGGCACTTAGTGGAGGCAGCTGGACACTGCTGCGTCCCCACACCAGCCTCTTCCCTTTCTTGGTGACAAGGTCTTTAGCCTTGTGGGGTCATTCTTCCCATCTGTAAAGTGGGGATGATACTGTCTATTGCCCAGGGGTGTGGAGAGGATTAAATATGAGCATGTATCTGGATGCCTGGCTTCCTGTCTGGCCTGCAGGGGACTCAAGACAAATGCAAGGGAAATAGGAGTTTGTAGAGGCCAGCAGGGGAAGGCCAGATGCCCTGGGGCAGCTCTGCAGGGGCACATGGAGGACTCATAGCCAGGGTGGCCCCTCCGTTTGTTCTTGGCCTGGCAATGCCCCTTCTGGGAATGCCAGCTTTCTAGGAATCCCATTGACCCCTGCGGTGTGTCCAGAGGGGAATGATCAGGAAGAGTCGAGTCTGGAAGCCAAGTTTTCTGGGAGCCATTGTGAGTTTGGAATGGAGAGAAAGAGATGGTTGCAGCTGGGAGGGACACGAATGTTTTCTCAGACACCACAAGGGCTGCGGCTTGGGAAAGGAGAAGGTGCGTTCTTCATTGTTCCAGATGCCAACGGAGGTGCTGTGAGGGGAGGTTGTGCGGAGGCCTATGTGGGTGCATGGTAACTAAGATCTAACCACTGGTATAACATTATAGTAATTATGCTGTGAACATTTATTGAGGGCTTACTATGCACCAGGCTTGTGCTAGGGGCTTGCACAACTTATGGAATCCTCACGTTAGCCGCACTTGGCAGAGGAAAAATACAAGGTGTAGAAGGCAGCTACCGAGAGAGAACAGGGACTCACACTCAGCTCCTGCTGGCTTCTCTCCATCAACCTGGCTCCAGGGTTGGGGAGGGGCAGAAGTGTCCTTTCCGGTGCTGAGAAGAGACCATCAGTGGGATGTTCTTTGTACAAGGACCTCAGGGTCCTGTAGGTCTTTTAGAAGCTGCCTTGACTGCTCCTTGGAGCTGGTACTTTAAAGGATTTGGTGGTGAGCCATGTATGTGTGTGTATGTGTGTGTGTGTGTGGGTGGGTGGGTGTGTGGGTTGGTGGGTGCACGCACATGCACACAGGCGCGCAGCATGTGACAAACCCATGCAGCCATTGCCCAGCTTCAGCAGTGATCCATGTATGGCCAATCTTGTTTCATCTATTATGCCCCACTTCCTCTCCCTCCCCCTCCTTGCTGGACTAATTTTAGAGGAAATCCCAGACATAAGTTTATCTGTAAATACTGTAGTATGTATCTTTAAGAGATAAGGACTCTTTTAGTTGCTGTTGCTTGAGTATATCCACAATACCGTTCTCACAATTGAAAAAATTAACCCACAGTATTCCTCCCTCCTCTGCAGGGGATGTGTTCCAAGCCCCCCAGTGAATGCCTGGAACCTCAGATAGCACCAAACCCTGCATATACTATATAGCTCTCTTGATCTGATAACCAAGACAGCTACTAAGTGACTAACTGGCAGGCAGCGTGTCCAACGTGGATATGCTGGGCAAGGGATGATTCACGTCCTGGGCGGGACGGAGCGGGACAGCACAAGATTTCATCACGCTACTCAGAACAGCGTGCAATTTCAAACTTATAAATTGTTTATTTCTGGTATTTTCCATTTCACATTCTCAGACCTCAGTTGACTGTGGAGGACTGAAACCATGGAAATCAAACCTGCAGATAAGGGGGACTACTGCAATTGCAGTGAGTCTTGCTAATTCAGAAAAGTTACTGGTATACAGCTTGCTTTTTGCAGGGTGTTTTGGGGTAGAGTGGAGGCAAAAACTAACTCTTCACATATCTGATTCCTGTGGCTCGAGACTCACCTGCTCCTTTGAGGATGATGATGAAGAGGAAGAGGAGGAGGGGGACCTAAAACTTGGGACCATGGATTGGCAACCTCTTTATTCTGATTGTTCCCAGGGGGCACAGCCATGAGAGTGGGGCCTAGTTACAGACCTAAGTCTAGACATGGGAAGGAGGCAAAAGGAAGGGAAGAGGTGAGAGGTTGGGGAAGAGGGAGGGAAAAGAAAGAGTGGAGGGAAAGAGAAGATAAAGAGGAACGATGATGACTCTGCTGGTTCTCTGTATGGTGACATATGAGTCATGTGTGTCCGCCCGTTTCTGTTCATGTGTGTGTGCATCAAACACATGTGTGCACGTACTTGTATGTGTGCTCATACACAAAGAGCAACACCAGGAAGGCGTGGTTCCTGTTGGGAGCATTCCATGGTCACTGCTTGGGTGGGTTATTAGAGCTGGAGTATGCACTGGGCCTACCCGACTGCAAAGCCCAAGCTGCAGCAGCTGAGTGCCACGTGTGGGGCTCTCTCATTTCCCTTCTGCCTTTCCTCCATCATCTTCTCCCTCAGCACTCCCAGGGGTAGAGCACTCAGCAGTTTCCAGAATGCCTGGTGTAGGCCATCTCATCCACCCTCCACAGGAGCCCATCCGGTAGGGATAGTAGACGGTCCTAAGCTGGGTGGTCCTGGTTCTCCTGGAAGTGCCACCGGGAGGAAGGTGCCTACTTGCTAAGGACACTGGTGGGCTTCATGGGGCCACCATCTAGGCCAGCAGGAGGGCCACCCTCTCCCACCTCTGGGAGCGACCAGGAGCCTAGAATCCAGGGGACCATCAGGTGCCATCAGGCTGGTGTTGGCCAGCAAGGGTCTAGATGGAGGTCCAGGGTCTGAGGAGCAGATAGAGGCCAGTGTTTAGGTACAGAGAGACCCTTGTGAATTGGTGCAGGGACCAACCATCTGCTGGTGCCACCCACAGAGCGAGGCCCAGTCCAGAGGTCATGATCTTGTCAGAGGTTATTGCCAGACAGGGTAGACGTAGGTATCCACTGGGCCATGGCGTGGAATCCAGGGTCCAGGGGCCCAGCCGGTCTGACAGGGTATAGACATAACAGCTGACATTCGTATTGCCCTCACTCTGTGCATGACACTGTCCCAAGTGCTTTACCTCTCTACGATATTCCTACTAATCAGATGAGGGGGCTGGGATACCACGATGCTGAACAACTTGCCCAGGGTCACAGAAATGGGAAGTGACAGAGCCAGGTTGTGAGCTCAGGCTGAACGCATCACCATTCTGCAAAGAGGGGTCAGGGTCTGTGCTGTGTTCCTGGGGGCTTCTCAGAGCTGAGCCCCAGTGCTCTGGATGCCACACTTAGAGCTGTTGGCTCACTCCTGACCACTTTGCTGCTGGACAAAAGTCCCCAGTGAACCACCTCTTTGGTCTTTCATTGCTTCAGGTCCTGGGCACAATGAACAGGGGGGATGGACTGAAATAAGGCTCAGTGAGGTGGTGACTCTCCTCGGCTCACTCAATAAGAGTGTTGGGAGAGGACCCAGGTATCCCAATTCCCAGAACCACACTCTCAGTCTACACCCCACTGGTGTAGTGTAGAACTCTCTTGCGAGTCCACTGTGTGTGCATTTTTTCTCTTAAAAAAGCAATAGGTCTCTCTTACCTGGAAAGGTGTTTCTGTCATGTCCTGCACCCATTGTCTTTCCCTGGGGCCTGTGTCCTGCTGCAGAGCCACCCCTTGGTGAGCTGGCACTAACACTGTCTGTCTCTCTGACCTGTTTGCAGAGCCCTGGAACTCAGCAGTGGCAAAGATGAGATCTCCCTGTTGGTGGAGCAGGAGTTCCTGAGCCTCACCAGAGAGCACCTCATCCTGGTCAAAGAGAGCTCAGGGGAGCCGGAGGCAACTGGCAACTGTCCCAAGGGGACCAGAGAACCTGCTCCCTGCATTCTCACACCTCCCCTGGTGGCAGGCAGCAGTGAACACCCAGGAGCCTCTGTCATTGCCGGTGACAAGGTTATGGAGCAGGTGTCCATGTCCATTATTGGCAGCCGGCAGGACTGCGATTCTGCCATGTCTGCAGTCACGGGCATCCTGTGTGCCACCAAAGTCAAGAGTGCCAAGGGGACAGAGGACGGGGGCCATAGCCCGGGTGCCTCCAACTCGGAGATCAGCAAGCTCCTGGCCCAGTTCCCGTTGAAGTCCACTGAAACGTCTAAGGCCCCTGACCACAAAATGGTGCTGGAGGAGACAAGAGTCATCAAGGACTTCCTGCAGAACAGCATGTTAAGTGGCCCTGGGCCCATGGAGCCTGGGGGGCTGGGCCCGTTCCTGCTGCTGCCACCCCCTCCTCCCCCAGGACTCCCCGACAAGCTCCCTGACCTCCCTGCTCAGAAGAGGCAGCTTCCCGTGTTTGCCAAGATCTGCTCCAAGACCAATGCTGACCTCACCTTGGAGGGGCTGAGTGAGTGGGGCTGAATGGGGCTGGGAACTGGGTAGACAGTCCCTCCTGCAAGGAGGACATCCTTTCCAGGAAGGCAATGAGGGCTGCAGCATGCACATAAAGTGTCTTTGTGCAAAGAAAGCAGGACAAAGCAGCCTCTGGCGGGCACAGCCCCCAGGTACAGGCTGTTTTCAGACCCCAGAGGTCCCCTCTGTTGAATGCCCGCGTGCAGGGCACAGCTTGTGCCAGCAAACCCAGAGGCCCAATACCAACATGCTTTAAGAAGAGAGATAGGCATCATGTAGTAACACTTGTTTTTTTAATCTACCAGGTATGCAGAGTACGTTGAAGGAAGTGTTTCCCCTAGCCAGGTCCTGGGTGAAGCTGCAGTACAGGGTCTTTAAGATGGATAGGAGAGAAATTTGATTGGCAACTGGGTCATTTGGCTTCTGATGGAGGCACCTGTTCTGTCAACAAGGCCTGGTCCTCTCTCTCTGGGACAAGGGGTGGATGCAGAAATTATCCAGGCGCAGTTCAGATGCTTGGCGCTGGGATTAGTTCCCCAGGACTCCAGGAAAGTGCATTCCTGTCCCCTAATTTAGGAGTCTGCATCCTTCTCAGGAAATCTAGCCACCTCCCAAGTTTCCCTCACCCCCCCACCTCCAGGATTCTGCATTCTGTTCTGATCTAGATGGTTCCAAGAAGGCAGACTGATGGCAGAGGCATTTGCCTACAGTCAGCAGTCACTGGGAGAGTTGATTGTATTCATGTCAACCAAAGGAAAAACTGCCCCCAGGCTGACAGCATAAATGGATAACTGAGAGATGTCTGTATTGAGAGGGCCCAAATCCATCTCCCTGACAAAATGAAACAAGGTCACCCTGGAGAACATTGTGTCCTACAGTGTTGTAGGAAGGCCAAAGAATAGAGCTGTGGACAGGAAGCTGGACTCTGCGTCCTGGGAAGCCTCTAGGAGCCAGAGGGCTTTGGGACAATGGGCTGTGGGTGTGAGAGTTGAGCCTTGTCTGGAGGGAGGGGACCTTCCTCCCACCTCCTCCTCCAGGAGGGACGCATGGATACTTCCCTGTCAGATGGAGCTGCTGGGCTGGAGGTAGTGTTGTTCCACCCACCCTCCCCACCACTTGTGTGTGTCTGTGTGGACAATTGTGGAGGCAAAGGTGTGCCAAAGGGAGCTCTGCAGGTGTGCATGTATTTGCTAGAGAAAATGCAGGTGGGGTGCGTCTGAGTGTGTCTGTGTGTGTGCATTTGTGCATGTGTCCATCATGTGTGTAGTTGTGTATGTACGTGAGTCAAAGGAATGACAGACAAGAATGTGTGTGTGTCTGTGTACCCAGGCCTTGGAAGATGGAGCTTTGTAGATATTTGAGGTGATTGTAGGTAAGTGTGAGGGGCTACAGGTGTGTGGGTCTCCAGGCTGTAGGTATGTGTGAGGGGCTACAGGTGTGTGGGTCTCCAGGGAAAGGGCTATTAGTAGTGGGTAGTGTTATTTCAGTACACTGGCTGGCAGCTAAACTCAGCAACCAGAGAAACTCTGGCTGAGACTCTAGGGACGTGTTTTGCTAAAAATGTCATTTTCTCCTAAATTGGCTCGGGCTGAAGTGGCTCTTTCCTTTTCTGGGATGGTGCTAGGAGGGCAGGCCCAGTCCTGTCCAGACTCAGTCCCCAAACCACCAGGTTACAGGGGCCAGGAGCCAGTGGGGTCAGACTCACTCCCAACAGGT